GCGCCTGGCGGAGAGCCTCGGGGCCTCACCTGCGCGCGAGCGGCGGTCGCGGCGCGCAGCCCGGGCGGTTCGGCGCGGCGGGGGAAGCCATGCCCGGGACTCAGAGCCGCAGAACCGCCAGCGCCACCTGCTCGAGGCCATGGTCCGAGTCTGAAGGACGCGGCAGGCCGGGCTGCAGCTCCCCTGAAGCCCGGGGCCCCTCCTCCGGGACCCGGAGCCGGAAACCTGGCACAGGAAGAGCTGCGGCCCTGCCCCGGCCGCGTCCTCTCGCTACTTCCCGGGGCTAAGCCGCCGGCGCGGGGTCTGCGGAGCCTAGGCACGAGCGCCGCCGTGCCCGGGAGTTGGCAGCAGAGGGCGCGGCGGCGGCCAGTCTGCCCCCGGGCCCGGAGGAAACCTCGCACGACCCCTCCTGGGGGCCCGGCTGTTAGGAAATGCCACCGTGCGGCCGCCTTCTGAGCATTTGAGCGGTAGTGTGACTCTGAAACGAGTTGGTGCGGTTTTGCTGCCTGATCCGAAGGTTACGGTTTTCGCGGCTGCGTCTTGGGGTGTGACCCGCCGCATCGGCTGCTGCTTATGGCAGCCCGTCTGGAAGGAGGGCCAACCTTATGCATCTTCCCAGTGGCAGGTCACGCCACTGAGCAAGGCTGTTGTAGGGCAGAGGCTAGATTAACCTCGTCTTTGCTCTTTTGGATTTTCTCTCTGAAATGTTGTAGGCTTAATGTGGCATAGTGGGCAGCCTTGCTCACATCTGGGTATGTGAGGCCCACTCGTGGGTGTACTGAGCTGTGTGAAATCCTTAGTGTTTGGTGATGTGGAACTTACCTGTAGCCAGCCCAGGGCACACGAGAATGTACGGGGTCAGTACCCTATACGTGTTAGAACCTTTCCTTAATGTTACAGCCAGCGCTCCATTTCTAATGGTAGGCAGCGTATTTGCGACAGAAATCCTTGTAACAATTATCCAACACAGAACCAATGAAGGAAGGTATGGCATTAGGCCTACAGCCATAGAGGAAACTTAGTCCTCAAAAAACTCATGCTTCTGAGTAAATAGGCAGCTGCCATTCTAATATTTTTTTCTTTTTCTGAGCCATGCTTGCTGTGCTAGAGAGTTGAAACTTAGCACATTTTTAAAATATTTATCTTCAAAGTATTTTTTTAACCAAATACAATCATAGAATAACAAAGTTTATTAAAATAAGCCAATTTTATGATTTCCCATCCTTGGAAGAATATGTTTAAATGCCTCAAGTGTTTTACTAATAAAGCTGGTTAATAACTGGCTTATCTTGATAGAAGCTTACATATTAAGAAATAACTGATACATAGAATTTGCCGAGATAAACTGTAGCAATAAACATTTGCACTGTACTTGCAAAGAATCCTATGACCTAGAGTTACCATTTGCCCTTTTTTACAGATTAGGAAACAGATATAAAGAAATTGAGTGTCCTCCCCAAACTCATGTCATTGGCAGATATAGCACTACACAATTCTATCTGGCCATTTTCATTTAGAAATTGTTTCCCTGGTTTAAAACAAAATATCTGTACCTTAAAAAGATGGAAAATGGCAAGACTAACTAGGGAAAGCTGAGGAGATTCATGAAGGACCAAGAGGTCAAGCATGAGTCTATTAAGTTAAAAACTCAGCTGTGCAAGGAACTGGGGAAGAACAGACTCTTCATGTGCACTGGCAGGAAAGAACTTTGGTTTTTTGACTGATATTTATGCAAAAGAATCCACCAGTACTGACTGATAACAATGGAGTGTGTACATGAAAGCATTTTCAACTTTATTTCAATGTTGGAGAGTTGGCTACACTTTAAAATATTTTCTTTCCATAATGATATTGTTTGAAACATAGTAGGAGCTGGTTTACAGAGATGAAAATATATACATAAGACATGTATATAATATATACATACTAACCATGTTTTGGTTCCTAGAACATGAAAACCTCTTATCTGATACTACTAGATAAATGATCAATGAATTAACAAGGTAACTATGAACATTTATTGAGAAAAGAGGTTCAAACAGTTGCACTGAATGGATAGCAGTTTTTTGTGGATTTCATATTCTTAGGCAACACTGAATTCTAAAGAATTTAATTTTGGAAGGACTGATTTCTCTGAGATGTTAAGATAAAGGAATTTTCCCTATGACTGATTAGTTGGTTAAGTGTTAACAAGGGTGGGTGCCTCTGAAGCAGCCATTTTTGTTCACTGGCCAGTGATCACATGTATTGACTGACCAGCTACGTTGCCAAAATGTGAATCAGTACAAATCCTAAGAACGAATGGAACATTATGTACTGTTGGTGCTCTACTAAAATGTAGGGACATCATAAAAGAAAATGCATTAATTATATAATTCAGTCTATTCCCATACAGCGGCTCTCTTAAAAGAGAAGAAAATGTACTATTGAATCTTTTAATCTTATTGTCAGGGTTCTGTGGTGACACTGAAACCATCTGTTTTGGGGTTGACAACCCATGTTTTCCCCCATGATGTTGCCTTATTCACCATGTATTTAGGGGAAAGTATAAAGGGTTAAGTCTGGCTCACATTCACCTTTTCTATACTCAAATGGGGAGGATATAAGATTGCTCTTATTCTGTTACAACTGACAGTTCATCTGGGCTTTGGTGGCATAAATAGGAGTTA